TGCCAATATTCTTGTTCTTAAGTCCACTTCGCAAAAGCAAAGCAGGGCTATGGAGAGCACCGCATGCAACAATAACTTTCTTAGCATTAACTTTAAATTTCTTCCCTCCATTGTTGACGGTGGCTACAACACCAGCAACCTTATTATTTTCAATGATAATTCTTTCAACAAAACAATCTTGTATAAATTTAACACCATAATCTTTAGCATCTTTTAAATAGGTCATCGCGGTACTTTGTTTTTCACCATACCGACAACCGAAGCCACACCAACCACATTCATGTAGTTTAGATGCGGAATTTTGCGGAATAGTGGAAACAGGTGCACCAAGTTTTTTGCAACCCTCAATAAGAATTTTATTGCTTTCGTTGTGGATGACATTGCTACTACTGACACCTAATCGATTTTTGATGGTTTTTATGAAATCAACAAAATCATCATCCATAAAATGGTTCAATCCAAAACTATTGGCCCATTCTTCGCGAATAAAATGACTTGGCTGTGGTGATCACACGATATATGCGAGAAGTCATTAATAAAGATAATTAGACATTCCAAATATTTTAAAATATTATACTGGTATATAATCTTTTGCATACATACTTCAACTGAAGTGGACCAACCGATGGTGGTACCACCACCAAAGTTTGATCCTGCAAGAACGGTCATGCTAACAAAACGTTAATAAAAACTTTGTTAACCAAAAAAAATATCAATTTATTACTCTGTATTAGATAACATTTAAAAATAGTTTACCTACTATCTTCCGAAAGCATTCCACCTCCAAGTTCATATAATGTTTCATAACTATCTTTCTCTTTCAAGGTCAATTCACTTTGGTGATAGTGATGGCCTTTTTCGATAACAAGCACTGAATTACCTGTTACATTATTTTGTTGAAATTTATAATAAGTAATTGTCGGTTTTAAGATGCATATTAGCATTTATAAATTTACCAGATTTTCTTGCTAAACGTGCAGCAGCCACACTTCCACCTGCTCCAGAACCGACAATAACAACATCAACTTCCAAATCTTTTGTATCTTCCGTAATTTTAATAAATTCATATTCTGGGAACGTACGTCCTTTAAATCTTGGTCCATTTATTTCAGGATCAGGTCCTGGATAACCGATTGCCGGATAAAGGTTATAAGGATTTAACCAGAAGGCAGAGCGAGCCAGAAAAGAAATAGTTTTATAAAATTGTTTAATCGATGCCTTTTGACTAGTACTCCATTTAGCAACAGCGGCGGCGCGTTGTTGTAAACTAAGTTCATAAAAAAGTTTTGTTGATGAATTTGTCATCGAATAACTAGTCATTCTACTACACATTTTCTTTAACATTGAGCTAATTCGCGCAAATTGATGTGGAGGAATGGTTTTTTGCAGACGATTGAATAGCCTTGCCGAAAAATCATCTTTATCTTCGAAATTTATCTGTCCAAATTCTTTAATTTTATCGACACTTTTTGGAACATTTGTATAAGTTTTTGTGTTTGTATAGATGTTGAGGTCTGTTCCCTTTAATTCACTTATAAAAACACCACAAATTGCAAGGAAAATTTTTCTTTGCTTTTCACCTAGATGGAAATTTTCATCATAAATATCAATTGACTTAACGTCACTTGATTGGCTTCCATCGTGGAGTGAATGTTTTTCATCAGTCATCTTTGGAAATTATATATTTCCAATCAAGTTTGTGACAAGAAAAAAGCTTATTTTTTTTAAAGAAAAAAAAAGGAGCGGATTGATTTTTTATTATAATAAAAAAGATAACAATAAATTTTCAAAAATTAAGGTTTGTATACCATATACGGATATGATAGGTATCCATATACGGGCATGATAGTAATAAAACTCGTACAGAACAATAAAATCATTATCATATTTATAATATATGTAATAATATGATTATTTATTAATATTAATATTTACTATTTTTTATATAATACGCATTATTTTTTTATCAGAATTTTTATCTAAGCATGGTTCACAAGACCTATACATAAAAGCTTTAAATTCTCTTATCAATAACCATTATTGACTCTTTTACTGCCAGTTTAATCTTTTAAAAATTTAGAATAAGTATAACGTATGAGTAAATACATTCTTAATTTGTTATGCATTTACATAATTTTGATTTTAAACATGATTATCTGGTAGTTCAACTAAGAAAATCTTTGACCAACCATACTTAACTTTTTAGATTTCTTATCAGTGATTTTCTTGCCATGGATAGGCCATTCATCATATGGAAGATCACATATATCGTTCCGATTTGTGATCTTTAATGACTATTTTGAGAAAGATTAGATGAGTTCTTTAATTCTACGTACGTACGTACGTATTAAAATTTGAGGTGATACGTGTGCGAACGCCAAGATTTTCAATGATATTACTGTATTACAGTTAATGTGCTTAGCACAGGAACAAATATTTTGATTATTTGAGTCAACGTGAAATTTGTGCAAGTTAGTAGAGGTGTAAACAAACCATTAGATTAATAATCTCAATTATGTCTGATCTTCAAATTAGGATCATTTCAGGTAAACCTTAAATATTTTATAAAATTAAGAATTTCAATAATTATATGTTATTCTATATTGAAAAACTATGTTCGAACATGAACCAGCAACTTTTCACATTTTTCCAGAATTTCCATATCCGATAATCGTATTTATTGTCCACCTCCCATAATTTTCTTGTGTAGTTAAGAGACGACTACGTAAACGGCGAATCAGTAACTCCAACTTAAAAATTTTCACGTAACCTACGATCGGTTTAGTCGAAAGGGACATTTAGATTGCGAGTTAGTAGTTTCCTCTACAGTTTACTACAATTTATACTTTTAATCTACTAGTTCTCACCACTAACTGATCTCTATCTTGTACTGCTACTCCGGATCGGTCTAGATTTCTCTTTCAGGTAAATGCATTTAACCACGGCTTTCTACACTTCTTTAAGTTAGCCAGAAAGGTTCGTTTCACTGACAATCATTTTATCGATAAGATCTAACCGACATCATATACCGAATTACAATTCTGGGAGGCTTTGTTCGGTATAGAATGGGTTAATTATATAGTTTACTCTCTCTATACCGGTATACAGAGCTAACCAATAAAATCGTGCGTAGTATCTTATTGGATCAGTACGTCACCAAACATTCTCGATCCTCACTCTAAATTTTGTCTTAAACTTGCTCCTGTTCGGAATATTTCGGAACCAGTATCAAATAGTTCGCTATATCGAAATATGTGTACATAGTCCTGGGCTGGTAAAGAAGAGTTCGGATGCGGTATATAAAAATTTACTATATAACCAGCCTGTTCTGCCAGATCTGGTTCGTTATAACCCGATTTCGGCATAAACAGGTCGGTATATCCAGAGCCGACTGT